CCGGTGCACACAATTATTTCTCAGTAAGCGCTGAAAAATTATGTAAACACCAGACGCTTTGTTCTGATCGTTCTTGATGAAATCTTCCGTGCTGCGCGGACTAAAGACTGCCCTAAATATCATGCATGGGGTGCATTTTTCATGTAAGGTGCAAAGGATTGGATACTTCCACCTCCTTATAGACCAACACCACTCATTAAAGTAACGATTCAATTAATATCGTTTCTCCACTATCAGTTTAAAGTCGTAGAAACAGGGGTTGAGTAATTTGGTACAAACCACTAAACACTTTAAAAGCTTCCAGGTTTTCACTACATTTCAAAATCAATATTTCATTAACGGGATAGAAAGAAGAATAAAAAACTGTTATTCCCGGTTTAATGGCGAAAGTGTCTCCACTGGATCTAACGGGTCTTGAGCCCTTCTCTTTATGGCGTTAATGCTCCGTGGCCGCGCAGCGAGCGCTCGTGTGGATGTGGCCTAAGGTAATGTTGCGATGTGAAATACGACGTCTATGGTACCAACAACAAGACGGGATGTTTTGGATTGTGTCATGGAAAGCACATGATTCTAAAATTGAAGGTTTTATGAGTGACGTTTTTTAAAAAGTCTTTCTCATATGTAATGTAGTGGATACGGTGTATTTGGAATCGCAACGCGTTTATGGGGACTGCAGTTACTCGGATTTTAACACTCCCACTAACAATATCTGCATCAACCAGGTGACTAATACCAAAGTACAGGTCTACTACATTACGTGTTATAGGCCTATATATTGCATCTTGTTAATAAAATAACTAGTTCAAAATATAGCATTACAGAGCTATTTATTTCAAACATAAAAAGTCGAAAGAACACAATATTCCGCTTATTTATGCATAAGCTCGGAAAACGGGTCCAAGTGGAGTCATGATTTTATATAAATGAAATAGAGGCCTATAAAATGTTATGCGTAACAACAGTGACGCCTGCAGTGAGACAGCGGACATTACAACAAATTCAGCGCTATAAATAGACAACGCAGCTCCAGCCACAATCCGATGGACAAAATAAATGTAACAAATTGCAAATATGCATTAGAACATGTATATCTATTTGCAATTCTTGGCGTGAATGTGTATGTTTAAAATGTAATTATCTACTTAGGTTATATAAAGGCCTACATGCACATTTCCCGCTAGCTTTTGCAACTGTTTATTAATGGTGTATGTGTATAACTTGGAAAATTTTACTTTGACGATACTGATAGTCATACAATCATGTCAATACAGTATAATTAAACTTGATTGAAATTTGCCGCTAGGCATTTAGTTTTGGTATCAGCCTGCCTATGAATATTTAGCGTATGAATAATTGTAACCGCGAATAAATACATGCACATAATTTCCTTTAATTAACAAAAATGTTTAAATACTAAATATTTGGGTAACTGTTGAGTGAATTTGTTTGTTTATTAGAAATTTGAATATATGAATAATCAATACTCCATAAAACAACGTTATCATCCTGAGATAAAAGAAATTGCATAACAACAACAAAAACAATAATAATAATAATAATAATAATAATAAAAAATATGTTAAATCGTTTTCAGGAAACCAGTAACTATAATCTATATCTTCAATTCATATACCATACACGGTTTCAAGAAACAGACATGTAAGAGTTGAAAGCTTGATTTTTTATTTTTGTACTTTTAATAGAGGTAGCTGAGCGACGGGGGGAATGCAAAAAATAGTAAGCAATTAACATTCGCAAATAGCAGGTAGGTTCCCTGCAGCACCAATGAGGGGGCTTGCTGTCAAAATGACGGAAAAACAGGAAAAAGGCGAAGCGGGAAAATAGAAAGAGAGACGCGATAAAACGGCATCTATATATTTTCCGTAACAAGGTGATAATTTCCTGGTCACGCGCTTTGCCTGAGGTCCTATATTATGGGAACAATTAAAAAATGACACCTGGACTAACGTATAATCTGTGCATATAAAAAGATATTCACTTACCATTTACCTGTATATCATTAAAGGTAATTAGCGGCAGGGGGGTAGATCCTCTCTTAGCTCCCGGTCGAGGTCACGTGCTTGATGAGCTTTATTAGATGGATGCTGCACTTAATCGCTTTATTAAAAGCGCGCCAGTTTTTCACGTTTCAGTTTATTTTTAAGAAGCGTTTCTTCCGGGTATTCGGAGCATCACGATAAATCATTTGATTAATCTAAGATTTTCGGGATAATATTTATTGAGTTTTCCCTGCGTAGTGTTGCATTTGTACTAATATGTAACCTCTCCACTGACTTACGAACTAACTTTGCTATTAATGTGAATTCTTATGCGCGGACAGATATCATGATTCAAGCGATTATTATTATAATTAGAACGATAAAACACTGCCTGTGGTGTTTATATGCAATGCATCTTCCCTGAGTGCTAATCCAGTCCGGGGTTGTGGTGTCTGGAGTCGATCTCAGGAAAAACAGAGCACGGGACTATAGGCAAGATGCTAATGCATCGCAGTGCACGAAGACATTCAAATGTTGTGCATAACTCAGAAATGCCAATTCACATAAGCCCATATTATACTGTGCAACTCAGCCACCTAGTGTGCAAATATCATCCCCCAGAAATGCCTTTATACTGCCAAACACATTTTAGATTGACACCTACATTGCAATCCCAAAATATATCATTTTCACATCATTCAGGTCAATGTATTTTAAAATGTTTACACCTTTCGTTCAATTCCCCCTTGTGAAAAAAACAGCACACTCACAAAAATGACATAACAAATTCTTTAATTTAACAATACAGCCTTTATCGATTATCCACCTAAAGGGAATACCGGGAAAGTGCCAGGAGTGGTCTTTACATTTGCAAGTTTTCACTCCCTTGTGTAACCAGTAGGGTGTGGGGTCTCGGCCCATCTACAGCGAGTGAATAATGGTGCGGTTCCTCAGCTGCTGGACGTACTCCTTGGCCTGGTCGAAGTTGGTCTTCTGCTCCACCTTCGGGGGCAGCCCCTCTACCAGCTTCACAAAATAGTGGCAGTGTACTTTGTCCATGATCCCAAACCGGCCCCTGCCATGAATCCTGATGCGTTTCAGATACATCCCCTTCCCAGAGAAGGACTCAGCTGCCAAGCAGACAGACATTGACTTAAACACTATACATTTGTATTCAAACGGCACATTGAACTGCTCAGTAAATCAGAGTATATCAATGAGGAAAAACTACCTGGGAATCAATAATTCAGACACATTATTTATGTGAACAATCCAATCCAATCGTTCTATATAAATCTATGCAGGATGTTTTTTGCCTGTCAGACATTTGTAAAGGAAATTTTGTCAGTCTCCAGAGATTCAGGATGATGGTTCCCTCCATAATTCTGCAATAAACATTTCTACCATTTTCAGTTCCACCCAAAGTCTTAAATCTCTAAACTCTCAAATCATACCATAAGAATGCTTTTAAGGGTGGTGGTGGTGGTGGTGGTGGTGGTGGGGGGGGGTGTTTAGCAATGGTAAAATGTGTAAACCCCCAATACACTTACCGACATATAAATTGGATCTGTACTCTACATTGTGGTTTTTAACAGCCATTTCTTGGGCCTCTAATAGGACCTAAAATTGAAAAAGAGATGTTTGTATAAATACGATGGCTAATTAATGCAAATTGGATGTACCACTCAGCTTCAGGGGGAAAGTGGGGGAAAGTAGGTGCAGCAGCCAAACTGGTGGAAATGAATTCAACTGAATACGTAAGAAATGTTAAAGCATAGATAGTTACAAATCACGTACCTCCTTGATTATCTTGGCCCCCTTTTTATCACTGAACTCAAGCTGTCCGAGGGCCTGGTCTATAGTCATCCCTCTTATCTATACAACAAAACAATATTACCCAAAATATTTATTATTATATGTGAACAGAATGCACAAATATACAACTTACATTAAAATTTAATTTCACTATACAGTAAAGCTAAATGGTATACAAATTACCTTGGACGAAAGAAAAAATGTACTTACCAATTTTGCTAGATACCACATCTTATCCTTACTGTACTTTATTTGGTATCTGCAATGATGTATCTCCTAAATAAACAAATACGTGTAATTAGTAAACTGATCTTGCAAGCTTGGGCATTTAGACGACACAAGGCAAACTTGTGAACAATCGATGATCGTACGTTTACTTTACAACGATTACCCAGACGATGGTAATACAGTGCTCAAAACTCACGGCTGGTCTGCGTGGCTCTCCTGGTAATTGGGGAGGATAAACTATACGATTCTTTCTCTCCCAGTTTTTGGCATCTACCGTTGCGGTTGTGTGGAAGTTTGCATGATGGAGATTGCTGAATGAAGCGAGTAACCTGAAAAGCAATGCAGGAGCTGGATCAGACTACCAAGTAACGGAATCCAAAAGACATAATGACCACAGGAAAAACCTGTAAAACCATGCCATATATACAAGATGGTTACATTTTACAACTCTGAACTGAAAAACAAATATGCTGTCTTTCATTTTTCCTATTGCCACCTATCACAGGTCACGAACACTAGCCAGTTAATTAACTTCTCTTTACCTTGAATGGATCTGTCGCGCAAAGTTTCCAATGAGAGAGAACCCTAGAATAATAAAGAAACTGTAAGTTTAATCGCAGTAAAAATGTAACATTGTATGCAGAATTATTCTTTAAAAAATTATATTGGCCGTACCCACTCCTGCCACACTGGAGGTCGCCATGTTACATCTTTTGACACAAATCACTTTACGGTAAAGTTCAGTAAGAGAGATATAACAATACTCATACGCAGTATTAAAAGTGCAAATGAAAATGGACATGTACCGTGTAAAAGAAAAGTACTGAATAATATATAGTTCAATATCCGTTTCCCCATTTACAGTTAAATGATGCCATTGATTATATATCCATTGTCCTTTAAAGGACACCGTAGTTTTTGCGACGCTGTAAAAGGTATCGGTTTTCGGTACTTTTGCTATGCGGCGTGATAAGCCTTGAAATGCGTGAGAGTGGCAGTGGTGCTCGTTGACGATTTGATAACTGTTACACAGTCGTGAATGATTTTCTTGGCGTGGCATTTTTGGATATTAGTGTCAGAATGCATGAGCGACTTCTTCCAGCTTCTCCAAACTGGTATTGCTCCCGGTCCAGTGACATAAATAGCAAAGGAGTTTTTGGCTTTGCTGCTAAAAACACTATATATTTAATCAGTGTAACCGAATCCTCGACTGCAGTAGTGGGTAAGCACAGTGTTTTTCCTCTTAATGTTTTATTGCTTTCTTTACCCAGCTCCACTGTAGTAGTTAGAGAGCATGTTACATCTATGCAGTACGCACATCATCCATGCTTTTTTTTTTTATCCAGTATAAGGTATATAAGTTTTAAAACATTTTAAATTTTTGAAATGATGTTACATTAGTACGCGCAATAGTTCTTTCTTGATAATGGATCCTTTCTTTGCTCTCAGGTGAATTGGCAGGCCACAGAGAGAGAGTATCGGGCTTTACGTTCTGCCACCATCCCGGTCAAGAAAATGTATGTGCAAGTGCCTCTGACGACGGAACGGTTAAAATCTGGGACATCGAGCAAAAGGTTTCACTGAAAGACCATAAAGCTCACCAGGTAACGGCTTTCAAACTGCCATTGTTCAAACACACATAAAAATAAAAACTGAGAATCTTGCCTGTTGCCTCTTAACTCCCGGTACCTAATGGATACTGTTCCTTCTACTTGTAAAAAGAATGAGCCAATATGATGCCAGTCTGTTTTTCCTTCAGAGCACAATCACAGCCCTCCACTGGTCTCCAGTCCAGAAGGACTTGGTGGTTTCTGGTGATGAAAAGGGCATCATCATCTGCTACTGGCACAACAGGAATGAGACTCTCAGCTTCTTTCCAGAGCCCAGAAACATCTTCTGCCTGTCTTGCTCTCCTCATAATGAAAATCACATTGCAGTGGGGTAAGCTCTGATTCTGGGGGAAACCCCCATGTGTGGTGCCACCTGTGGAATCATTGTCATGACGACCACAGAAAATTCCATCATTGATATCTCCAGTGGTTATTTGACACATCACTGTAATCTTAGCCTTGATTTGAAAGTATGCAGATCTTGGCTGTTTCTCAGTTCCAAGAACGCAAAGATCGTACTTGTGCTTTTGGCAAGATCGGTCTTGCTAAGTTGCCTCTCAAGAACGAATTTGGGTTTGATCTCATTTGGCAAGGATGCAGCCAATGTATCCTTGATATTTGGGGCGGGGCTCTAACGATATCTGGGATGTTTGCCGCCTTCTGAGTATTGGAACTGGTCTCCGGCAATGAAATATGACAAAAAATGTGTACGCGACAACACGAGTGCGGTCAAGTGGACCTTGAGATGTTCTGATAGTGATTTTTATTTTAAAGCTACAAAGATGGGATGATCATAGTCATGGACATCAGTAGGAAAAACGAGGTGGTCCATCGCTTAAGAGGCCATGATGACGAAGTTCACGGCCTCTCCTGGAGCCCTCAGCCCGGCGAGGAACTGCTGTACAGTCGCCTTGGGGAGAGCCCAGGTTCGAGAGTCTTCAGGGCTTTGCGTCTTTCTGAGTGACGCGGTGAAGCACACAGGGTGCGATAAAAGCTTTGGGCTGAATAGTTGCAGTGAGGCGATTTTTAACTTCTGGCTTGGTCTCCAGAGGCAAGCAGTGAGGTGTCAACTGGTGTTGAGACAGGCTGCTATCTGGCTTCGGGGAGTAAGGACCAGACCGTCCGGATCTGGAGCACCGCAAGGGGGAAAGGTAAAATAAAATTTTAAAAAAATCAAAGTGACATTTTTATATAGATCCGGAGCTTCAAGTCTGCACGTACTAGCAGTGCTACTGTGCTACTTTGAATATTATTGGGTTAGGCGTGTTGTCTGTCCCCCGACAGGTGTGATGACCCTTAAGCTGCCCTCCCTGAAACGCAGGGGCGTCGGAGTCGACCCAGGAGTCAAGGAGAGACTCTGGCTGACGGTGCACTGGCCCAAGGGGAGGCCGACGCATGTCGTCTCCAGCTGCTTCGGGTAAAACTGCAGCCAGTGTTTTACAACAGTCATTCAGATGCGATCCATTAATTCTAAAGCAAATCTGCTCACGCTTGGCTGCTACATATACGGTTTATTCGGCGTCCGCTTTGATTTGAAAGCAGCTACATATTAAACGTCCGGTGATGGTCTGACTCGGCTGGAAAACGTCCAGGTTTTTTCGGAATTAGAATCTGCTTTATTTGAGGAAATTCCCAGAAACTATTTTAAGAATTTTTATTTATTTTTTTAACCCTTGGCCCTAATGAGTTGCACTAGTAACTCTTACTGCTCCAGCCAAAATTTCAAAAGAAGCCCCAACAAAGAACACAGTACGTCCATCTGTCCGCTCGCGTTCGCATTTGGGACTGGGATCACCGGACACAAGTCAGTTCGGGCCTCGATAGCTGTCCATCACGTATACATTACTGTATGCTTACTGAGTTATATGCTCGATATGGACAGTGGGCCATTGAACGGTTGATGGCCCATTCTCATGCACCTGTTACACTAAGCCTGGGTGGGCAATAACATTTAGGTCAGCTGTTCAAACCCAGGTGTAGAGGACCTGTCAGTCCTCTAATTAGTAATCTAATTAGGGAGCTTCAGCGAAAACCCACATACGCAAAGGCCCTTTCTGAATAACATTGCCCACCCTTGCACTAAGTAATAGAACCACAAACATTCTGTGTATATTACTTAATGTGGACTTTGGACATAAATGCGATTGGACGCAACTTGATCAGGCGTAACTTGGCTTTTTTTTTTTTTCCAGCTGCTTCAGGTCACTTTTGAGTTCCTCTTGGTCCTCAGGTTGGGTTTTTTTTTTCCTCCCATCCCTTGATCGTTGCACTTTTAGGGGCGAGCTGGTGATTTGGGATCTCGCCAAATCGGGCAAGCAGAAGTGGAGCCTCCTGGGGGCGGCGGCCGACAACCAGGCGCACAGTCGCATCGTCTTCAACATGAGCTCCGTGTGCCTGGGGGAGCACCGACTCCTGCTCAGCACCTCCATGGACAGGGAGGTGAGAAGCTGGGACCGGGAAGCACTTGGCGGATGAACGTTCCGGTCACATCCACAGCATAAGCGCTACACGACGTTAATAATCAACTTTTTAGAAATCAGTCCAATTACTGAACAGATGGTAAAAGTTACCTTTAAAAATCAACGGGACCGAGTCGTCTGTGCGATGTGTCACATGGGCAGTACTAGGCGGATTCAAGTGAAGATCCGTACGTGTGTCCTACGTGTAAAACTCCTTTAACTCTTAAGCACATTTTTTTGTTTTGTCCTTTGAACTCCCTCAGGTTTGGTTACCATTTTACTGACTCTTCAGAAGACTAATTTAATAAAGTCAAGCCAGTGGCTTTTTCTGTTATATGTCTTATCGTGCTAATCTTAGCTATTTTATTTAGATAATTAAATAATAATTAGATAATTAATTGGATAAAAGTTTTTCCATTTTGGTTATTCAGTCTGTATTAATGTCCATATACTCTCGCCGTGAATATAGGTCTAGTTGCTGCCATGGCGTTAAGAATCAACCTAGCTAGCTAATAAGCGCTTTGCTGCCCTCTGGTGGTAATGCATAGTTTTTTTTTTTGTGTTTTTTTTTAATTGGGAAAATTGCTCCTCAGATTAAATGCTGGGACCTGGAAACCATGGAGTGCTGCTGGACGTTGCCCACCCTAGGGGGCTTCGTGTACACGCTGACCTTCTCCCCGGTGGGCACGGGCTGCCTGGCCATGGGGGTGGGGGACAGTATGATCCGCGTGTGGAACACGCTCTCCGTCACCAACAAGTACGACACGAAGACCTTCTGGCAGGGCGTCAAGTCCAAAGTTACTGCCGTGAGTGTCTGGAGGTCGCTCCTCAACGACGCCATAAAGTGCCGTGAGAATCTCACATTAACCCCGCCCTTTCCTCGACTCCTCCCCACACAGTTGTCTTGGCACCCAGCAAAAGAAGGATCGTTGGCGTTCGGGACCGATGACGGCAAAGTTGGCATTTACGACGTTTTCTCAAACAAGTAGGTTATTTCTATTCAAGATCGATATTTCCCACGGGGGAAGTATGCAACTCGCCTCAACTCGCATTTTATTTATGAATCATATTATTTATTGTTACATTCTATTCTATTGTCTATTTAAGTACTTCACGATATGTCGCTAAACGCCTTATGAGATGTTTACGCTTGCAATTGCTACAGAGACCGTAAGCATGGATGCCACTGTCGCCTGGCATCAGTAGAAAATACCGTATGCCGTTGAACGTGCGTCGCAATGGCACCGTCGTAAAACGGGGAGCCTCAATACTGTTGCTCTGTGTGATGTTTACACTAAGAGAGCCAGCGACCTCCTTTTGTTGTGCATTTGACAATAAAGCTGACTAACTTAATGTTTTTGTAACGGTATTTTTGTTTGTTGTTTTTTCGAGAATGCATATTGACCTCGCCTACGTTTTCATACTTTCCTGTGTTCATTTATTTTTGTTTGTTGTTTTTTCGAGAATGCATATTGACCTCGCCTACGTTTTCATACTTTTCTGTGTTCGTTTATTTTTTTCTTGCGTTGGTAGTGCATCCAGCGTCTGTCGTCGTGACTTTTCTACCCGTGTGGCTTGTTTGAAGACACTAACGCGCAGTACTTTTGCAGACCACCACAGATATCCAGCACTTACCATCGCAAGACCGTGTACACGTTGGCATGGGGTCCCCCTGTCCCCCTTCTGCCTGGTAAATAATTTAAAAGCATCATACCAAAACACCCCCATCCCCCAAATCTTGCAATTGAAATTTGCTCCTATCCTGCTGGCTCTGACGGTAAATGTCATTCTAGCGGGGGCCGCTGAGACCTGGACTGGGTGGGTGGCACTTTTTTACGAGCAGCTTTCTCTGTCTGTCCCAGGGCCGGACGAGCCCCCCTTCAGCCTGTACAGCTGTGCTGGGGAGGGCATCATCTTCCAGCACAACCCCTGGAGGTTGGCGGACGAGGCCGTCGACATCGACGGGATCATCCGCAGAACCAACAACATCAAGGTAACTGCGCGTAGGAGTCTGTGGTGGTGTGGGGCTCAGTGGGTTTGGACATGAGCAGAAGGTCGTTGGTTCAAATCCCCGGGTCGGCAGAGTGATTTCACCATTGAGGCCCTTAACCCCAATGTACAACATAAATATGTTAATTATGTCTCACTTTGTACCTTCATACATTCAGGCCTTGGAACCTGTCCACAATACGACGTTTATTTTTTCGTCAAAGGTGGGTGGGTGTTGCAATGGTGTTTACTGTGTTTACTGTGCAGCACAAGCTGTCCCCCCACACGGATCTCAGCTGGAAGCCAGACGGCAAAGTACTGGCGATCGGGAACGAGGATGGGTGCGTAGTGATGCCGTGTCCCGCGCCCCCACCCCCCACCGTGTTTCCATGGTGACGCCCTCTCCGCGCCCCTCAGGTCCGTAGACGTGTACCAGGCCCCAGCTCTGCGGCTCCTCTGCAGCGTGCAGCAGCACCACAAGATCATTAACGTGCTGCGTTGGCACCACGAGCACGCCGGCCAGCCTGGCGTGGGGCACCTGCTGGCGTCGGGCTCCAGCAACGCCGTGGTCTACGTGCACGACCTGCAGGCCGTCGTTGGTGAGCGTCCAGACTCTCTCCCACTGCTGCCTCTTAAACGTCCCCGCCCCAGGCTTCCCCTGTCGCTGCTGCCTCTTACCCCCCCCCCCCCCCACACTCTGCTCAGAGTCCCCCCCCGAGAGCCCCGTCCTGATCACGGAGGCCTTCCGCAGCCTGACAGGACACACCGCGAAGATCACTGGCCTGGCCTGGAGCCCCCACCACAGCGGGCGTCTGGTGACTGTCTGCTATGACGGCACTGCCCAGGTCAGTCACCACCGGGGGGCGGGGGGGGCAACCCCTGGCGGGGGCTCATTCCCGCCCGTTGCCCAGGCTTTTACTGGACCCCTCGGTGCCATTTATCCATGTCTCAGAATTCCCCACGGAAACATGCCGCCTTTCTTTTTCTGGACATGCGTATGTGTGACCGGGGAGGGCTGATTTTTGCCCTGGGGAGCTGGAGAAAGGCACGTCGACCTGGGGGCCGCATCACACCGAACGACGGAGCTCATGTGCCTCTTGCTGTAGTCAATAAGTTTAATAAAAAATAATAGAGTGCGTGTGAACGAGGCAGTGTGTGGCTCCGCGGGTCAGGACTCGCTGGTCCAAATCCCGGCATAGAGATTTTGCCATTGGGCCCCTCAGCAAGGCCCTTAACCCCCAATGGCTGCAGGTACTGGCTGACCCGCTTTCTCAGTTGTACATCGGCTTAGGTAACAAACGTAAATGTAAACCCGGTTTGTCACACAGGTGTGGGACGTTCTGGGCGAGGAGCCCGTGCGCAACTACAGGGGCCACCATGGCCGCCTCCTGTGTGTGCAGTGGTCCCCGGTGGACCCAGACGTGGTCTGGACCGGTGGCGACGACTTCACCGTGCAGGAGTGGGCCGTGTCCAAGCAGGAGCACACCCGACCCCCCCGAGGTGAGCCACTGGTGCGCTCAAGGTCGCGTCTCAAGGGACGCGACCTTGGCCCGATGTGCCTGAAGGCGGAACACCCCCCAGCCCACTGGGACTAATTAGCGGTGTGCGCCGTTTATGCTAATGCTAATACCAGCACACCCCCAGAACCACCAGAGGGGAGCGTGATATTAAGTAGAGGGCAGAGGAGAAGTATTTAACTCCAGAAATGGCCTGTTTGTTTGTATCAGTGGCCATTAAGGCGAAACACTCGCTCTAGACCAGTGTTTCTCAACCCAGTTCTCAGCGAACCCCAGCCAGTCCACGTTTTTGCTTCCTCTCAGCTCCCAGCGCACCTGTACCAGCTATTCGGTGTTCCTGATTGGCTGGGAGCTGGGAGGGAGCAAAAACGTGGACTGGCTGGGGTTCGCTGAGGACTGGGTTGAGAAACACTGCTCTAGACTGTGTTTGAGACCTTTTGGCTCAATCCTCATACTCTGCTAGCGACGCTTGGCATATTTGCCACAGAAATTGCTGGAAACGGGGTTTACTTTTGCAGTTTTTTCATTTCTGTGCATGCTGTTCGCGCTGATCCCAGCTCTTAAGGCCAGGTTTGTTCGACCTATTAAGATGATGTCATCAGCATCACCCACTCCCATTGGTTGACGAGCCCGTTGCCCAGGCGACATGCAGGAAGTCACCGCCGATCACTCTAAATGGCCCTCCCAGGTAAAAAAGGCATGGAGCTGGAGAAGAAGAGGGCACTGCAGCCCAAAAGCAAAACCAAGAAGAAGAAGCCTGCAGATAAGGGGCCGGCCAGGACGGAGGAAGCGGAAACCCCGAACGGGCAAGAAGAGAGAGCTGGAGGAGAGAGGCCGTCGGACAACGACGAGGCTGAATGTGAGGCCGTCGACAAGCTAGCCCTCTCGGGTATGGAGCCGTCTGCCTCTAGCACAGCTCTGCCCCTCAACTCTGAAACGTTCTGCAAGGTTAAGTTGTCCCTTGCGGAGATGATAGTAATAATTCATGTTTCCTAAAGCCACCTCACTTTCTATATGACAGAGTTTCATGAACATAAGTCTGAATTTATTGGGGGGTGATCATTTGTGCTTGTGGTCGGAAGGTTGCTGGTTCAAATCCCAGGGTCAGAGCCGTGATTTCACTTCTGAGCCCCCGAACAAGGCCCTTAAACCCACAGGACTGGCTGACCCCACTTGCAATTGTACGAGGATAGAAACGTTTGCTTAATAAGTAATTATAGTTGAATTACACTGTGCATTCAGTGTAATCCACCCAACGCTCTCCTGTCCGCCCCCTCCAGCAGTGAAGGAGCCCAATGGCCTGGCAGACAGAGGCGTCCCGGAGAAACTGCAGAATGGAGGGAAGCCTCCCCCCTTCGCCAAGAAGGAGAGCAGGGATGACAAAAGACGAGAGAGACCAGGTTCGTCCCCTGGTGCGAGTCTCCAGAGTCACATCTGGTGTCAGAAACTAAAACGAGAGGGTCAGAAAATCCTGTACCGCTTTAAAAGCTTAAGTTAGTTGAATCAGCTCTTCACTGCTGTGTTTTGATTAGTCGTACAGACTGATGGTGGCTTTGTGGTGAGCGGTGAACTTTTCCCTCTAACTGCTGTCCGCAGAGACCCTCCTGAAGAAGAGAAAGGGACGCTCCATCCTTCCCCTGAGCACCTCCATGGACCACCGGCCCAAGGAGGAGCTCCAAGAGGACTGCTTGACGCTGGCTGCCGTCAGGCACTCGGAAGGTCAGACCAGCTCCTGAGCCAAGCTGAGTCTCTCCGTCGAGGTCCCCTCTGGGGTGGCCATGCCCATTGCCTGTAGATAACCACCTACTGTCTTCCCTAGCAGTGCCCAGTCAATGCCTACCCGGATCGGGAGAGCATCTGCATCTGGGCCTGTTTGCGGACAGGCAAGCGCTCTACAGGATGTTCCAGGAAGAAGGTGAGGAAGAGGAAGACTTCCGTGATAAGGGTTGCAAGAAGCTGTTTTGATCACTTATGGATGACTCTCTTTCAATTGGACAGGGCAGAGTCACGTAGAGGGAGGTCACTATGACTCTGCCATCTACCTGCTGCTGTGGAAGGGGGACATCACGGGGGCACTGCAGCTGGCTACCGACAGAGGAGAACTCACTGACCATCTGGTCTCCATGGCTCCCATAGGTAGGGGACACCAATGGCTAGAGGTCATTCAAAACATCCGATTCTTGGCTTCCATAATCTGGGAAGAACATATCTCATTTTCCGGTGAACCGGTTTTTCGTGAGCAGACGAACCAGACTCCCACCTCTTCTCCTCTTAGCTGGTTACCAGGTGTGGTCCAGGACGGTGGAGGCCTTCGCCAAGCAGCTGAGCTTCCAGGAGCAGTTCGTGAAGGCCGCCTCGTATCTCCTTTCCATCAACAGAGTTTACGAGGCCATCAACCTTCTCAAGTCTCACAGCCTTTACAGGTGAATGATAGGTGGAGCACTAACAACTACAACATCATGTAGCAAGTAGCAGAAATCTAGAAGGACCACAAGGGAGCGCATATACATTAAACCTTCTAGTCAGTGTGGGAGAGACCATAGACTAACCCTTGCACACCTGCTTTCAGGGAGGCCATAGCATTGGCTAAAGCCAGACTGCAGCCTGATGACCACGTGCTCAAAGACCTCTACACTACCTGGGCAGCTGTGCTCGAGAAGGACGGCCATTACTCCACCGCTGCCAAGTGGTACGTGACGGAAGGCTGGTCCACCTCAAAACTTCTCAGCCGTATTCCCATGACTATCAATCTTTATTTTTACTGGTTAAGTTCCTTGGAACCTCATGAGCTTTGATGTCGTAGCTACCTCGCGGCAGACTGCCCCTTCGAGGCGGCGAAGGTCATTGCCAAGAAGGGGGACATCGCCTCGATGAAGACCGCCGCTGAGCTGGCGAGGATCGTGGGGGAGAAGGAGCTGGCGCATTCCCTCGCCCTGAGGTGCGCCAAAGAGCTGCTGGCAGCTCAGGATTGGCTGGGGGCCCAGGAAGTGCTGAGAAGCCAAGACAGCTTATTGGTCAGTACCATTGTCTTGCCACACCCATAACAGGACGTCGGTACCACTTATCTTGACATTTTTTTTTTAATATACAGGCAGAAATTTTGCAATTTAAAGGAACTTTTCATGTAAACTCCTCTACCAATAAGCCAATCCTGATCCACAGGGACACCAGTTATTGTTCTGCACCAATGAGCTACTTCTCGTCAGGCTGGCTGGAACCAATGGGATCGGTCCAAGCTCCAGCCCCACCCACAGCTGGTCGGTGCCTCATGCCCAGAGCTTCCTTGAAAATGTGAAGGACGTGTGGGAACAGGAGTTTGGTGTCTCGCCTGACGAAATGGAGAAAATGCGTGCAGTCCACAGCCAGCTTAAGGCATTAGAGAATCCCTCTGTGGCCAGTAGTGTCACCATGAAGCAGGTAAGCCTGCATGTTGGAAGTTTAAGAAGCTGAAACGGGATGCGGTACAGAAGCCTGAAGGACTTTTATTATGGTGACATTAGTCATCCGATGCAGGACTTTTATTATGGCGGCATTAGTAACTTGATGTCGGTGTAGAAGATGGCAAGTAGAGTATCGCTTGCACTTTGTGACTGTTTGTACCCTCTTCTTTTGCCCCCCAAGCTGCTGTTCCACGTGTCCCTGGACATGACACACTGCGTGCTGAGCTGGTTGCTGGGAGACTGGGGGGCGGGGCTGGAGGAGCTGCTGGGGGCAGTGGCCAGAAGTGGGGACGTGGGGAGCTTCTGCCTGATGTCTGATGTCTGTCGGCTGCTCTTTCCCCAAGGTGAGCTTATCCCTGGCATCTTGGGGCGGGGGTACACTTGCCAGTCCACGGGACACGTGAACACACATACACACACATACATATTGGCATACCTATCTAAATGGGGATCTTTCATTCATTTCTACAGGAAAAACCTCATTCACGAATGTCTGAAAGTAAGGAGGCTTCGGGTTTTACCCCCCAAATATGATCTATGCAAACACCCACACACACATGCAGCGGAGGCTGGATTCGAACCTCCAACCCTGGAGGTGTGAGACAGTGGTACAGGCTGCTTCCCTTTAATCAGACTTTGAACAATCACTAGATCTAGGGGGCATATAAATAATGCAGATGACTTCAGGAACTTCGCAGCACCAAAACTCCCGTGAGGGTAACCGTGACTGATGAGGTACTTAGGAGGGTAATAGAGAGAGCAGCCTGACGTCCTGAGAGGATTGGTCTGTTTAGCCCGTCCGCTGACTGACGTGTATAAATGTACTGGTTTTCAGGCATCGAATCCATCTCCCAGTACAAAGCCAAGCTGGATCCCAGTGATGAGCAGGGCACGGCTGTCGCGAGGGGCCTGGAGGCCTTCCTGAGCTACGTGCAACTGTATGCAGTGTGGTGGGCCAGCAGCGGTACCACTGAGACCTCTGCTGGTTCTCTTCTGGAGAACAGGCTGGAGGGAGGTCCGGATGTGGAATCCGGTTCAGAAGTGGGACCCGGCCTGGACTTCTGCCAGACCCTGCTATCGGAGCCCCATGCCTCCTTCCAAGCCACGCAGAGAGCTATAGCTGAGGTTCAGCGGAGGCTGTCCAGCATGGTCCAGCAGCACACCCAGACCCAGAAGTCCCAGGGCACCGCCGGGGACTCTGAGTGCGGAGAAGCCCCAGAGCAGAGGTGCTGTGCCTGGTTCAGAAAATTAGCGATTAGCTTAACATTAGCATTTAGCATCAAATTAGCGATTAGCTGAAAATTAGCAATTAGCATCAAATTAGCATTTAAAAAGTACTAGAGCTGCCAGTGACCTGCAGCGTTCCTGTCTCCCTTTGCCTTCAGCTTGTTACCGTTAATCCTTTCTGCAGCTCTTATGTGGCCACACTGTGCCCTTATCCTGCTAGGGACTGAAATGGTTTCTTACCCCTTGGGTTCTGGTTAACAGCTCGGAGTCCCTGCCGGCCTTGATCGCCCGGGTGTCGGAGCACCGCAAGGAGCTGGCCGCTCTGCCTGACCACCTGAAAGTGAGTCGTGTCGGTCTGGAGCCTCTGTTCTAATCTTGATGGGAGGGTGAGAGAGGTCAGTGACTGGAGTCTCTTTTTCCTCCCCCCCCCCCCCCTTTCAGAATATTCCCTTCCCCGAGGTCGTCGAATGCTGCCTTGTTCTCCTGTACATGGCCAGGACTCTCCACACTGTCCCTCCCCAGCTGACAGACCAAGCACTCCAGCTGCTACGCAAACACGGACCTGCTGTTTACCCCAAAGCCTCCCAGAATGCCTTAGCGGACTACCAGCAATGCTCTGCTCTTATGACGCAGACCAATAATGTCTAACTGTCCTTTTTTTTTATTATGATGACATATCTATGTTTAGTATGAGCAGAATAAAATTGTAGATGGGGGGGGCTGCCAGCCTGGGCCCCCCCCCTGCCCCTGGGGGGGAACGTCATCCATGTGCATGAGAGTCCGATTTTTATACCAATTCACCAGCAGCAGCTTCTGTTTTACGCCTATAGAAATGTTTGGTATTATATTGGAGTAATTCACACCACGTCTTGGGTAAAGTTTAAACTGGGACAGTGAAATATTTTCACTGGGATCGCACCTGAGAAACCGGAAGCACATCAGTCCCAAAGCGGTGATCCCAAGACGCTTAGTCTGGCGTAAGTTTGCAAAATGTCAACTTCACGGTCGGCACCGGATGCTGAAACGTTTCCCGAAAACTGAGCAATTGTACCTGTTTTACTTAATAGAATTTAATATATGTCCCCCCCCCCCTTGTAATTCATTCAGTCAGTCATTGAAGGAAACTGGCCAGCAAAATGGGGGGAGAAAAAACATGCCAATTCAACAAAAGGCCAGAGGGTGAAGTATGCAGAGATGGGAGGCTAAGTGGGCATTTCCACTGGGTACACTGGCGACCGAGGGGCCCCAATCTCCTGCTAGGGGCCACAGGAGCGCAGCACCAGGGGAAGCTTACTGTGGCATCAGGTTCAACTGCTGCCCCTCCCGTACCTCAGCTGGGGGTTAAACGGTACAACAGCAGTCACCACCTTTGGTAGGGGTCCAATGCGAGACCACCCCCAAGGTCTGATAGCCTGTAGGTCACCTCCTGTCCTTAAATTCAAGTCATGTTCCTCGATCCGGTCGACGTGTCCGGCCGTGCAAATGTTTTTCTTTGAATTTTTACAAAAGGTATTTAAAAAAGCACTGGATTTGAATCCATCAGTTGCGCTGTAACTCTGAATAGCCAACAGTGTCCCTGTGGTTTACAGTCACTGAACAGTGATCAAATCATAAGGTTCGTGACGTGCTGCACACGAGCGCTAACGCGATTGGTCCACTCCATCACATGTCAATTTACAACTAATGCCACGAATGGCGCTAATCATGAGCATATCACAGCAACCTGACATAGCAATTTATACACTCTCCTCCAGAGGGCTCTCTAACACCTTTTTGCAGTGGTTCTCAACTGGTTTAGCCTCAGGATGTACATTATTGCTCAGTCATTTCATATTTCATGTTCATATTTATTTATTACATGGGGGTGAAGGGAGGGGGTGCTGGCAATAAAACAATAATTTACCACGAAAACACTGCATGTCCCTTGCAGCCACAATATTTCCAAAATATGTATTTTTAACCACAGTATCTGTGACTGGCAACTGTTCTGTGATCCACGTTAAGGTCACAACCCACCGGTTGAGAACCACTGCCCAGTAACACATGCCAGTCCTTTCACACGGTACACAGACACAAACGTAGAGGGTATGTATGACATCTTAACCGCTTCATGTTATAAACGTTACATTGCAAATGTTACAAATTGGACAAATTACAATAAAAGGAAGCACATTTATCGATTCTATAACAATTTTAAAATTAGTGAAATGGGACTGTTCGCTTGAAGTGGTTCGTCATCAACTATACATAAAAAATGTATAAACTATAAACTCCCTCTTGAAGAAAAATTTACAATTTCCGTCCCACACGACTGCGAAAAATTCTTAAGCTGAATTCTTAAGCTGTTCTAGTGCCGCAAGGACAGAGCAGACGGACGGCCCTCTGTCATAATCCCGCAGGTGGAAACGCGACAGCCAGTCAGTGCCGAGAGGTGCCCACGCTCTTCTGGATGTGTGACATCTGCAGTATGGGCAGCAGCAGCTGAAAAGCGTCCTGGACGTATGAGGCGCTGTTGGAAGCCTGAAGACGGCGAGAAAGCAGCTCTGCGTCATCGCATGTCACATGACACACGCGTGCGCACTGTACACACGCCGTCCGGAATGAGGGGTCACATTCCCTGTGTGTTAACTAGTCACCAGCCAAGTAAATGAGACAATAAAACTGTACTGACCTCCAGAAAAACACATGTTATCAGTGGATTCAAGATCTCCCCTTTTTCATTTGACTGCAAAATAAAACAAACAACCTTTACAAATCAAATCAGAGATGAGAAGGCGCAACAGAGCAGCAGCAGGCAATGAAATGATACGAGTTATAGTAAATTAATAAGTAAAGGTTAAGGACAAATAAATTAAATAAGAATGATAAAATAAAGCAAGAAAGAAATATGAAAAATGTCAAAGTGTCCATACCAAGAGTCTGATCTGCTGTAGAATAGCCTTACTGTGACACATCAAAATGCATAAAAAATACTTCTTAATAAAAACGTACCCCAACAGTAGTCAAACACGATGTGAACTTCTTGGACAACAGGGAGATCTCCTTGCACAATATGATAGTGATTCTGCAGAAGAAGAAAATCATACATTCTGAGCTGGAATAGGCACACGCCAGTACTGAGACATACGATATGGTGCCTGGACATGAGTCACGGTGGGGGGGGGGGCACTTACTGGGAGAGGGTGCGGGCCTGGCCCACGGCGCTCGACCCGGGGCTGTCGCAGTGCAGGACCAGCTCCGCCACCTTGTGGAAGTGCTCGATGGAGCGGGCCGTCAGCTCGGCCAGAGTCCTGATGGCTGACGAGTGGATGTCCTGAAAAAGGACAGAAGACAAGATACAGACAATACTGGGAAGGTGATTAAAGCACTTCGGCTGATCAACATGAAAAGCCTTCTAACACACACACACACACACACACAGACAGACAGACAGACAGAGTAAAAGACAGAGACAAAGTCAGGTGACAGGCAGACAGTGAAAGAGAGAGATGGGCATAGAGAGCAACAGAGAGAGCAGGAGACAGAGACAGGAAGAGACAGGGACAAACAGACATGCAGAGAGAGAGAGAGGTAGACAAACCTCCACAGTGCACGATGGCACTCCATCTCCTTTCTCACAAGGCTCCTCCTCCCCATTCCCTCCTTCCTCCCGTGACAAGCTTCCGGTTGCCTCGGCGATGCGCTCACATGCGTTCCTGCTGGCCTTAAATGAGACAGCACGCCCCCTTCAGGCCAGGCCATGGCAGATGTCATATCAGACTTAAGAAGTTCAGTACCGTGTATGTAACGTAATGAGTCTGTCCCACATACTGCTCTCCATCACACTGCCACCGCTTATCCGAACCGTTTCCCAGGCGTATTGTCGTGCACCAACAGCTGAAAATGCTCCAAATACCTTGCTGAGTTTGTCCACAGACACAGCTATCTGCAGCTCAGCCAGGGCGTCCGTCAGCTCCGTTACGAACTCAGAACCGTCATCGTCTTAAAGAGAAACACACAGAGATCAGGACCAATGACAGCCATCCAGAAACCACAATCTTAGCATTTTCATTATACCACTACTCAACCACAAAGCTATCTTGCGACTTCTTGGTTTTGAAGTTCCTCTATTCCAAAGGAGAGATACCCCATGGGACGCTGGCCTACACACCTATCCTGTCATCGAGCTCCTCTTCATCAAAATCGACCAGTGAGAAAGGAGCACTGATGAGCTGCAGGTCCTCCTTTAGCTGCACCAGCTCCTGACCGGAGAGGGTGGACAGCACAGACTTGACCTGCAGCAGGAGGGACCTAATCAGACTAATGGTCCAGTTGCTTGGATTTAAGGATAACATTTTCCTGGGGTTTAAAGAAGTAAAAGGGGAAAAAAAAGAATAGTAATTTTAAAAAGAAATCAACCTTGGTTTCACTCTCTCTAGAGAGGATTTCTAGAGCCTCCAAGTGAGACAGACCCTGGAATTCGTCAAACAACATTCCGTAATGGGCCTTCTTATCCATGTCCGTGGAAACCTCTTCTGATGTTTCCATCTCTTCCCTCTCCTTGGCTTCCCTTAGAACCTACCGGAAACACAGAACTTAACAGGTAAGCAGCACAGTATGTTACCTTTCACGTTAGAATATTTCATCATAGCCATTTTGCCTGTTATATACCAAGTTTTTTCTCCTTTTATAATTAACTTAAATGACTACACATCGCAACTAATTCTTAGGCTTCAGGTTTGATTTCAAGACCCGTTTGCCGCATTTAAGCAATTCACCTGGGACAGTGTGGACGTCCTGTTCATCAGGCCCTTGGTTCTTTTAAATCCCGGATCCCCTTCTGCGATGACGTCCATGGTTTTCTTCCCAATGAACTCCAAAGCATCCAGACCGCCAGTTATCACCGTTTTTCCCTAGAAAAAACGGCACTCACTGTCAGCCCGCCGCCTATGTATTCACAGTAAAACATGATGATAAAGTGAAGAATGGAGACAGTAGGACACAGAATCCCGACCCAGGCTTACATTGTCACCTGACCGCCAACTGTCGGGGGAACCCAGCAAACCTCAGACCAAGTTAAAGCAGTATTAATAACCAGTAGGGCTGCAAAATTCTGGGAATTATCCCATTAACTTCCCATGGAAAGTTTCCAACTTGAAATATTTCCAAAATTCCCCAGCTTAACTTCCCATGGAATGGAAAGTTTCAGAAAAATTTCCAACTCTTGTGCAACCCTACTAGCTACTTAACCTTTACTCCAGTGTTTCTCAACCCAGTCCTCATGAACCCCCAGCCAGTCCACATTTTTCTCCCTCCCAGCTCCCAGAACATCTGTAACCAAGCAATCAAGCGATCACAGACACCGAATATCTATTAGAGGTGTGCTTCGAGCAAGCAAAAATGTGGATTGTCTGAGGACTGGGTTGACAAACACTGCTCTCCACCACTACCTACATAAAAACCGGTGATGTCACTTACGGTGCTCTGAACCACGCTTGAGAGCGATGACAACATTCCCATGGCTCCGCCCATTACGAAGGAGCCACTTTCATCCTCTTCTCCGTGGTCAGCTTCACCTGCGCAACAAAACACATTTAACATGACACAAACCACTACTCCACTCTATAATGCAGAACTTATTCATCATCAAACAAGACCCTGCTCCCCCACACAACAAAATACACGAGGTCGGTCATTACCTTCCGCTGCTGCAGCTGCTGTGGCTTCCTCCTCGTGTAGCTGTGCAGAGAGTTCTGTGGGGCTGGGTACGCCAAGTGACGTCTCTGCTTTTTCAATCACTTGAGAAATCCCTTGACCTTAAAGGACAAATTTGCATTGGAATGTGACCTGAGATTACAGTGGTCACGTTAATACAATTTTTACAAACGCCAAGTTTGACTTATTCCCTGATCTTGTACAGTCAGAGCCCTTCGGTGTAAGAGTAACAAGTCACCGTCTCCACCGATCCTCCACCAAGCTTGCCTACAGCACCCCTGTGCCAGATCGCTGCTCACCTACGCTGGCCACTGTGGCCGAGGCCGTGGAGATGATGGACTTGCCCCAGCTCCCCCAGTAGCCCCACCCCTCCTCAGACACTGTCTTAACAGGCTCCTGCAGGGGAGACAGACATATGACACATTCATCAATTGTGCATTTAAAGGTAATGCCATCTTCATAAATGATGTGTACTCGTGCAAAATATCTGATCACAATGTTTGATTTCTACGTTTCTTTATCTGACACTTTTCTCCCGAGCAACGTGTATTTCTGTGGACGCGGGATCAGACAACTCGGAGCAACTCAGGTTTAAGGACCTCGCTTACGTGCCCAACAGTGTGTATTTAACCTAAAATTTCAGCAGAACCACCTGGAATTCTGAGTTTGATCATTTGAACAAAAAGAGATGCAACAGAACTAACTGCTGGGCGGTGCTCCGCAGATTTCGGCGATTCAGCTTCCGGCTCAGTGGGAGATCTGTTCTCGGGTCTCCTGCGGGTCTTCCAGGCTGGTGCCGCATTCCCGTCATTCTCTCCTTGAGTCTCTGCAGCAGCACTGTCTGCCGTAGAGGGTGGTCGCCCCAGGGAATCCGCATTAGAGGCCCCTTCCTTCTTTTCGGCATCCGTTTGGCTCTCAGTGTCCGACATCTTAACACATTCCTGCCTCTACGAGACACACAGGAACATTTCAATACAAACCGAGGTTACATATGATTTGCTGCATTTATGATACTCCCTAGTTAATCCATAACTGCCCTTTCCACTTGCAATGACAGACTCCAATCTGATAAATGTTTTCTTTCCATAACCAATGTATGCAATCTAAATCAATTAGTCAGATAATCTCGGTTAAAACAGGTGCAAAGAATTTAAAAAAATCCTTTTTGAGGTCTAAACAAAAATTAATTAACCATAAAAAGATAATAGATATTTCAGTGCATCTTCAAGGTGTAATAGGATATTCTAATTAAAGTAAGGATACAATAACGAAATGACCATAGTGAATGCCCATTTGAGAAATATTGCTTTTTAATTTTATACGTAAACCCAAGAGCTCTACAGAAATAATAACTAATATAAAAAAAACTGATTTCTGTGGAGTCTCGTAACAGGCACATAAACAGATAGCTAAAACGTTTCTTTACTTCACTAGACCCACTTTTTCCAGATTCTTAGAGCCCAGACGTCCGGCCAAAACACCCTTAACAAACCTGTTTTTGTCCTTGAGTGATTTCGGATCTTAAAACAACGCAGCAGATCTCACCCTGACAGCCACGTCACTTTCGCTCCTTATGTTTTGGTCGAATTTTTCCCTTCAGAACCGGATATTTCGTAACTGGGAAAACTTCCGGTTCCTGTTTATCTTAAGGGTAAGCCACGCCCTCAGAAATCAGGAAGTAGATAGGCGAAGATTGAGAAATGCTGTAGCAGGTGGACAAGAGCACAATTATGGTATTAAAAAATATTGTGGGTTTTATACTGACAGTTGTCCTTTCATATTATTTTCATTACAATGATCTGTAGTTGAAATGATCAAATTTAGCTTGATAAACGGCTTTTTGTATATTGTGATTGTATCGGTATAGAACAGGTTGGATTTCTATATGTTTCAAAAATAAACTGTAGGAATGACCTAAACGGAGTGTTTTTTCCCTTTAGCTACATGACGCCTAATCAAGGTGCAAAGTGTAATTGTCGAAAGCCATCATGTTGCTAAAACGCAGACGCAGCGTTTGGCGTCGAATAGTCCTCGCATTCTTCGCGAGCCTGCTGGTCGATGTTAGTCCGGGAACTGCTCTGGAAATCTTCGGCCACAACAGGACTCACATTCCCATGCACCGGCTCGCGGAATTGCCCGCTTCCCAGGAACTGGTGGTGAAGGAGGGCTCCAGCACGTCAATTGAATGCAACGTGAATGGCACGAGGGATGACATTTTGTGGTACAACTCCAAGGGACACGTACTTGATCAGGAAGAGGGTGGTAAGTAAGATTCCATATTGGTATCAAGGTACTTTATTTTGAATTAATATATTTACTAATGTTAAAAAGACCACAACGATATGTGTTTCACCATTATTTGCGTACATGCCTATATCTGTAGGAGGAAAATGGCTGATATCGGACAGAGGAATCTTGAACATCACAGCTGTCACCTTTGAAGACAGAGGGAGGTATACATGTATAGCGTTCAGCTCGGCTGAAAGCTCGAACTACACTGTGACCCTGCGGGTGGCTTACATCCACAGTGGGCTTGGTCTGTACTACGTCCTGGTGTGCCTGGTGTCCTTCACTATCACCATGATCCTCAACATCACGCGCCTCTGCATGGTGAGCAGCCACCTGCGCAAGACCGAGAAGGCCATCAACGAGTTCTTCCGCACGGAGGGCGCCGAGAAGCTGCAGAAGGCCTTCGAGATCGCCAAGCGCATCCCCATCATCACCTCGGCCAAGACTCTGGAGTTGGCCAAGGTGACGCAGTTCAAGACTCTGGAGTTGGCTCGTCACATCGAGGAGTTGGCTCGCAGTGTGCCTCTTCCACCGCTCATCCTGAACTGCCGGACCTTCGTGGGTGAGATGTTTGAAGTGGTCCAGCCAGGTGGCTTTGACCCGGCCTGTGCTGACCTGAGGTGTCGACAGGCCATTGAGGAGAACCCGAGTAGGAGGGACGCAGAGGTGGGGTGCGAGGAGAGTGCCGAAAACCCCAAAGGCACTAACCCGGGTCCTCCTGAGAAAAGCCTGGAAGAAGTTGCCATCTGCGTTTCCATTTTGGGGACCAAAGGCACCAAGTGTGTCATTTATGAAAGTCATATATAAACCAGCAGGTCTGCATGACCTCGGGAAAGATCTCTGGTAATCAAACTTCGTAGTACAGGAACAGGGGCCATCTAATTATTCTGTACATATTGTCTTTGTTTATAGATTTTGTCGATCATATTAATGAATGGTATTTCCTAAACGTGGTGAATGAAGAGGAAATTACAAGACACAGTATCTTGGAAGGTTTTATTGAAGAATTCTTTAAAAGTTCTCATGTTGTATTTCAGTAAATGTTTTGGAGGTGAGGTCTTCTTAGCTTGAACTTAGTCATCAAGTTTCCCTTCTCTGGTGCTAGATTTCTTTCTATGAATGGTGTACTATATTGGGTGATTTATAAGTGGGTAATATTACGGTGACCTTCATGGATCACATTGAAGGATCAGTGGTTATAGTAAGTAACAGCTGACTATGACCCTTTAAAATTAAGTTGCCCCTATTGGTGAACCCTAAATAGGTTGTGCTGGACGTAGGTTGCCCCCATAATGTGTGAATATGGCTGATTGTCTGTAGCAGTCAGTAGTCCTTAGTTTCCCCAAATTCGGTCTTTTCAATAAGAAACTTTTGTGATGTCACGTCAAAGCCATTATGACATCACTGTCAGCTCGGCCAGACTTATGTGACACAAGCGGAGAGACCAGGGCTTTTCATGTATTCTTTACTCACTAACTTTCCCCTTGCCCAAATGATTTGCTGTTAATATTCCCTGAAATGAAACAGACTGGGGCAGTAACTTAAGGGCCCCAACAGATGGAGCCCTTGGCAAATAAAAGCTATGAATAGCTTAGCGGTTGAGCTCTGTGATTTGCACATATATAGAATATTATAGAATGTTTTCTATAGTACTACGCTTCATTTTTTCATTTTCATTTGCTTTAAAGTGTCTTTCCCAAAGTATGTCATTGTGATGCCCAAAGTAAATGCGATGTCACATTTTTCAGGGATCAGAGAATGTCTCCCGTCAAGTTTCTGCTCACACGTTCAAATCTCTTTATCTTCCTCAAACCTCCCATAAGAGTCTGTAATAAAGCTTAAGGGCATAATCTACGTAGGAATTGAACACAGAGTAGAGGTGCCCTACATTCAGAGCTACTTCATTTATACGTGCCCAATATCAGTGTTGTCAGCCAATCACAGACTGTGAAATGTGCTGATTTCTCTTCGGAAATAGCATCGGTGTCGAGTTCCAGCCACCACCAGAGTTCATTGAGTTTACGTGGTGCTGGAAGGTGGAATTTGGGTTTGGCCTCATCAGCCCTCTCCAGTAATGTACAGAGGGTGTTACAGCCGTATTTATCATAGCAATACCACCGGTAGGAGCAGGAATGTGTGTGAATGGGAATGCAATACCAATACTATGATCTTAAAAGACTGTTGGGTTGTTATTGCATCAAGTTATTTGGAAATAAATCGTTGCCATGGGATACTTTACAAAATGTCATTGCAGGAAATGGAGATTAATTAACCATTCTGGCCGTTGTAATTTATGCACTCTCCCTTGCCTTTAAATGCCCGTTGGGTTCAGCATAGGACGCTGCTGTTCTGTAGAAAGTAACCAAAACCTCACGAGAGATGAATACTATGATGGGATTAACTTTCGTCCAGAAGAGTTTTGTCCAGTCACGAATTCACATTTGTCCGTTTGTGGTACTTTCCTCCTACACGGCATGGAACTGCATTTCCAAACATAGACCAAGTACAACTGTAACAATGTTTCAGTTAATTGTCCTCAGTGTTACTATAGGAACTGCAGAAAGAAACAATGGCATGATCATAACAATATATTACACAAACAAATAGTTCACCAACAGCCACACCCTGCTTTGTAATACTGTAATTATGTGTGAGAACTTTATTTTTTTCTGCCCAGTAATGTTCCATGGTGCCATGAGCTGAAGGACAAATACCTAATTTCTCATTCTTAATTTTAATAATTTGATGTTTTTAATGTCTAAGGTGAATGGACTTTTCTATATATTACTCGTAATGAAATGTATATATTTGTATTTGGATTCTGTGAAAATTCGATTTCTGCATGAGCACCGTGACTCAAAACTGATATGTTTCTGGTTTTTGGACTCCTGGTCTGATGTGTTGGGCTGGAGCTCCACTGCAGGCTTTGCATCCGTTCCATTATTATTTGACTAATAACGTGTCATTTTAAGATAAGATGGAAATAGTTTTTTTTTCCTTCCAACAAACAGAGCGATGCATATTTTTTTGCTTGGTGCTAACAATTTTAGAAATCGTCATTTCAGTTGATGGTGATGATTCGTTTACAAAAGAGTCCTTGATGTCCATTTTCTATACATAAAAATATATTTGTTATTTTTTACACTTTTATTTTGTATAATAACTGCGAGTTCCTTTTTCCATTCGGTTCGGCGTGTATGGTAACAATTCAGCCTGAAAGGAACAAAAAGCTTCAGGAACGGGGGAGGAAAAACGTGAGAGTCCTCCTAAAATCTGCTATTGAGAGCTGAGGTTAAACTACAAAGCCGGGGAATTGAATTCTGGGCTTTCTTTCATTCCCTTATGCCGCGGTGATCGAATGTCATTGAGCGTAAAACAAACTGTGAATTGATTCGTGGAGGGTGAGTGTTTGTCTGCCCGTCCCTGTCCAGCGACCTCCCCCCCTCTCCCTCCCCCTCCGGTCTCTTCTGCTGACTTGCTACTTGCTTCGTGTGCTGGAGGCGAATTTTCGTTTTGCAGGGTGGTTCGGGAAAATCTATTAATATTCATGAGAGATGTGCCACCTGGTTGGCCAGTAGCGCTCATTAATAGCCATGTTAATAGCTAATTTGGTTAAGTTGTTACTACATTCGACGTGTCTATTTAAGGACATAACCTGTATTGGCAGAAAGACTACATGACGCAATTTAATAGTAACGCCACTCTACATAATCTACCTTTCCGCCATCATCCAAACCTTTGACAGCAAAAACAGGTGGCACATGTAGATGGGGCCTTTCATCGGCCAATCAGGTACCGCTCTATCATGAATATTAATGAGTTGCCCTGAACTATCTTGTAAAACGAAAATTTGCTTGTGGGACGTATTTACCAGGTGGGATCTATGGGATTTCGCCAACCCTTACCCCTCAAATGTAAGGAAAACACTACTAAGCCCGAAGTGGCCGCTTCGTTGAGTGTGGACTTATTCTGATCACTTATATAAAGGCGATTTCTAAGACGGAGAGTCAGACATACATCGACATCTATACAGTACGTGCTGCTGTCATTTCCCAGGAAGGCAATCTGATTTCAGCGGGCAGTTTCACCCGAGTCCCCTGCGTGTGTTGAACTATATTGTGTCAAAGATGTGCCGTAAAATGACACAATAGTTACTCTTGTGCATTTGTTTTTTTTTTCTATCGTTTCGCTTTATCATCCGTGACGTATCCGATTTACGCTGCAAGTGCATTTGCCTCATCTGGGCTTTGGGGCGTTTTGTGTTCGCTTGAGAGGTTTAACAGTAACTTGCGTATTCAAGTTTCTGCTTTTATAGGTTGGTATGGAGTCTGTGGGACCAGCCATAATAATCACCAGGGTGGACTCAGTGGTAAATGTTATTTAATCTGCTTTTGAACTTTGTTCTGCTTCAGTTGATAATTAAGTGCTTTTTAAATGATTAAGTTCCCACAAAGAGAGGGCTGAGTGTGTTTGTGTTTGCTTCTATAAAAATAACAACCCTAAAAGACGCCATGTTTTTTTTTCTCTCTTTTAAAAAATTAGGGCATGAAACAATTGTAAATCAATTGCAAATCTTGTAAGATTAATTAAATTGAGAGAAGCCCACCTTAATTGTAAGCCTTGTTGTCTTGCACGTTTCCGAAGATTGGCTAAATGTGTGATTCTTTTCCCCTTGATTTTCTTTCATTTATGGCTCCTGTGTTTAAGCTTTACTGAAAACAATGTTTGGACACTTTTTAATACCCACGGTGCTCTTGAGTGTCTTTTGCAGATGGAGTACGTATTTATTAGTCAAATAAGAATATTTTTAGAAGTTTGTTACCGTGAACTGTGAAGAAGACACACGGTGGAATAAAATCAAGATTTAATTAATCGCCTTAGAGGATGTCCTTTCCGCCAGGTGATTTTATTTTTACAGATCTTGTGCTTTTATGATACACATATGGTGTGTAAACACTTTTTTGCTAAAAGTATGAAGGCTACAATTGAACTACTATATGACTTTTGTGCAAAGTAACACGTGTCCACATGCATCTAGTTTTTCAACACCTACATTATATGGATGTAGACAAAGCTCTTTTCAGATCTGACCCTCATTGCAAATTCCCTTTAAAGTTCCTTTTTCAGATTAACAAAAAGTATTTTAACGAGGGATGTGAGCACTATGCTAATTCTGAAAAACCGAATGATCAAAAAAAAAAAAGCAATTACAAAGAATGACATTTCAATGGAAATAATAATCCTAAGAAAATAAGGGTCCATTGCACTACGTGCTTTGGACCCTTAATGAAGCGTCACGTTCTTAAAGTTCAACGTGGAACAACTGGGACGTTTCCTGCGTAAAGGCTGTTCCTTGACATCGCCGCGTACGGATGGCGCCCCCTGGCGGTCATGCAGGCATGGCAGGCAACTGCAGAGAAACCAGTTCTTCTAGCTTCTGAATTCGTTGAAGAAAAGTACGCGTATTGATCTGGTTAAATAATTTATTATCTTTAATTAAGCCCCAATTGTAGAAAGTAGGTTAACTGGCCAGGGCCTCCTGAGTCGCCTATAGGGGACCCCCCACCCCACCCAGGGTGAAATTAACTTTTTGGGGGGAGGGAGACAGTTCGTTAGATCCAGTTCACCTAAAAGATTAATTCCAATTCGTTTACCAACTATTTCAGTGGTTATTCCTGTTCGCATAAAATTGATTTGAAATAATTGTGTTTGGTTTGTCAAAGAAGCCTATTATTTAGGGTTAGATAGGGTTAAATAGTGCCAATGATTAAGCTATAAATACCACCAATAAGTCATATGAGAAAAATAATATGTTACGGCTCATCACAGTCAGCTAATTAGACCAAATGCTAACAAACTTTGGTTAAAATTGCTTTAAATCATGAAAATGTTGCATCTCTAACATCAATTTGCAGCATATGAGGAGTCTCTACACATGTAAGCTATATACTACACTAGTAGATGGTGTAACCAACTCCACTCTTTCCGGTCTCTCGTTCAGCATGAATGAAAGAGGTGGTGAGTAGGTGAACGAGAGACTCTTGGATCGTGTCCAAATTCAGGGCTGCATGCTTCTAAGGCTGCATTTAAAGACTGAATGCATCACAGTAACATAAGACTGTCCCAATTTCAAGGGCTCCTTCAAATGCCGTCTAGAAATGCGTCCTCCTTTTACGAAGTTGCGAAGGATTCACCCGTCGGATCCTTCACAGCCCAACATATCCCAAGAACCATTGCATTAACCTTCAAGTAACATCCACAAAGGCTACATAGACCATGTCCTTCAAATGATGCAGCCACTGAATTCGGACACAGCTTCGGTCGTTTGTTCACTGTAAGCTTATACGTTTAGATTCCAGCCAATCATATGCTCGCTTACAGCAATTCATGTAAAATTTCTGAGGACAAGCGAAACTAACGAAAAGAACGAATCTGCGCAGGGAAGTGAACGTGTGTGTATAGTCCCCGTAAGGGACTCGTTTCCCAAGAACGAATTGTTCAGGAAAGTCACACCATTGCTTATTATACTATGGTAATGGGGTTGCGGTTTTAAAGAATTTCACAGTAAAGAAGAATCACGGAAGAAGCTGTCATCTGCATTTTCTTAGCTTAATCACCAAGGTGTCCGACAGGAGCTCAAGACACCTGACTGGCTGTTTCCATCCAGGGCATCTCATTCATGAACTGAGATTAATTGCTTTGCCCAGTTTCTATGTAGAAAGTGCCGGAACCAGAAAGATGCACCAATTGCTATTAATAAATTCCACAGAACAGTCCTGTAGCTTTATAATATTTATAATATTTAAACTCAATCTAGTAATGTTCTAACCCTAGGAATAACTCATTCGAAAATCAGCTCATCGAAGTTTTACTTACACAAAAATGGTCTGAGGGCAGAATGAAAAATGATTGGTTCGGAGAGACAAACCAATCAGATTGTCAAAGAGGTGTTGAAGAAGTGGGTCCAAGTGACTAGCGGGGGCAGACTTGATTGTTTGGTCCCATCTCCTCTAGCTGCTTGGATCTACCTCTTCTACAATCTGATTGGTTATTGGATCATTTTCACAGTCACAATCCTGGAAGCAGGTGGGAAAAGCGTTTCACTACAGAGATATACAGCATATGACTGTGTTTGTGACAAATAAAACTTGAATTTGTATATGGACAGCATGACGAAGAAGCCAACTTTACTTGATTTGAGTTTGCTAAGGAGAAGGGAGCCACACTAACAGGAATGTCTCACCCTGACCCAGATATTTTGGCTGAATTTTGGATTTTGACACCTCGAAATGGGGACAAACAGGCAGTTCCAGCCATATGGTGAGATGCCTGGCCAGGGATTGACTAAATGTTTATTAAAATAATTATTTGGCCCCACACATCTGCAGCCTGCCCCCTTCCTGTACCTTTGAGCAGGTGGCTTGGATGCTCTTGCTGCTTATTTCTGGGGGGTGGCAGCCAAATGTCACCTGACTGCCACTGTTCTGGTCGATTCTATCCATCTGTCTCTATTTGTCAGTGAAGTGATAATTCTTTGCGTTTCGTTTATCTGCCGTGGTGAACACAGCCAGACTCTGATTCTGGCCCGGGCCGGTTCCGCCACGTACAGCATATTTTCACACACGCGCTTCATTTCAGGGTTTGTGTTTCGCCTCTGTATAGGTGTGATCCTGCCGCAGTACAGACTCCCTAGAAACCTTAATAAGAGAACTACTATCCCCAATTAAGTTAATTCCCCAACCCTTATTACAGAAATCTGTCCACTAGAGTTGTTTTTACATATATTTTATATACTTTTATTAACTAGCAGATGCTCTTATCCAAAGCGACATACATTCTTGAGAAAGCAGGGACAGACAGTCCCTTGGCCCATTTGTAGAAGCCACTTTCCTGATGGTGGGATTTGTCCTTCTGATTACAAGCACTGTATCTTAACCTACTGCGCCACACACCACCTTCTTTAGCTGCTCGCGTTTCTTTGCTAGATAAATATATAAACACAAGCATGGTGAAGGTACCGCAGATATCTAGATCTGTCAATAATAGTCAAAAATGACCGTAATAAAAATTACACATTCTCCTTCGTATTCTGTAGAATGTGCTGAAAATCAGGGCATGGTTGGGTTGGTGAGAGA